CACCAGACACAATAGATATTAAAAAGAAACATACAAATTCAGAATAGCTAAGCAAAGCAAGCTGAGTGATTTCTATAGTAGGAAATGAGACTCAAACTGCTGCTGAACATCAACTTTACTGTACAAATCTTCAAATAATTTTCATACTACTCATTATTGTGCTATGATCGATTTTTTGTGAAATGATTTTAGTTTACATAATACAATTTAAAATCAACATTTTTATTTGTAATAAAGTGTTTGGATACTGTGTACAGTAGTGTAATAGTGTTTCAAATGGGGTTGCGAGATCCGTTTTAATACATTCAGTGCCTAATTAATATTCATGAATAAATTAGTGAACCTGTATAGAAAGGCCACCTGTCTATAAAGGCCAAAATTTCAAAGTCCCTTGGGTGGCCGCTATAGACAGGTTTGACTGTAGTACAGTTAACTTGAATGTCTTAATTCCACCAAGTGATTATTAAACCAAGAATGCCATAACACTGCCTTACCTTGCTGAGGGTGTCTGATACTAGGAACACCACCATCATCATACATAAATCGTCGCGCTTTCTTTGGTGGTTGTGCTGTGTCAATGTCCTCACTGCTGCTCCGATCAGTAAACGTCTTTGGCTGCAATGGTGGTGGCCCTTGCTTTACCCCTGGGGACTGGTGAATACCATTAGTGGCTGCTGGGAAAAGACAAGATAATGAAATTAACAAAGAAACAAAAGAGTGTGCATTAGTAAAAGTTTGAAATTGATGCAGGAATGCCAAAAACACAAGATTATCACCTGATATCGCTTGTTCATGAGCTATCATCATCTGTGAACCGAAGGTGATTGGGTAATACAGCCCATGACACCACAAGTACATCTCTACAAATAAGTGATTTCAGGTGACAACTTTTTTTATCACATGACCAACTCCTAATCATGATTTTACTGAACATCACTTACAAATCATTTGCTTATTTATGCTAATTAGGCATACATTTGTCAGTGTCAAGTCAGTGAAAATGCATTTGCGGTTGCGATCGCTACTGGTATTCAAAATCAGTAGAAATAGCTCACTTCTTCGCAATATTTGTTTTCAAAATATACTTCCAGTCATCATTCTTATCATTCCATGTCCGAAATTCTCATATCATGCACATCGCCACATTTAGCCCGAATGTTGGTTAGTGATATAATACGTCACTACTGTGAATGATATGCTTGATGGTCAGGTGATAAGTATTTATTTATTTCATGTCAGTGTTTTTTGGAAAACAAAAATGTCGCCAGTCATTCAAATGGGATAATATACATGTACTTTTATAATGTAAAGGGCTTAATTATTCATTCATATTTATTTTCACTTATTTTATCAATAACTAAAGATGGAAAATTTAAATACAATTGAATATTAAAATTTGACCTTTTCACTACCAGACTTTCCCATCCAAATTTGTCTGCACTTTTTTCTTATATTCTTCAATATTTTTGGAAATAAACCTTAATTTTGGAGCCAACAGACAAAATTTGGTCATTTTTTGTCCCAAACTTCTGGAATGTGCAGACTATAAATGTGACTATTTTGTGAACTTGTGATGAAAAAAGAAAACTGGTTGTAAAAAAAGTAACAACAACAATTATCGTTTCCTCAAAAAATCCATGAATTTAAAAATTAATGAATTATATCTCAACAACATAGTCAATCCACTAAAGTTAAACTCAGTAAAACCATTTGACAATACCGGTACATCTCATTTTTGTACCAATTTTGAACAAACAAGTTGTCAAAGACAGGATTGAAAGTACCAGTAACAAAATTTGACTTCAAAGTGTTTAAGCACTTTCCAAACATGGACTACAAATTATATTTTGTAGCCCAACTTGAGATCGGAAACCAATTTTTGTTTTAAAACTAAAAATTGTTAAATTTTTGGAAGGTGTACACAAGAATACTCCCAAACTTACCTATAGAGGGCACCACATGTCCAGTATAACTACCACGACGACAGTCTACATTAAAAAGGTATAAATAAATTCTTGACTATTGCATTATATAATGGTTTTTTTTTTAAATATACTGCTAAGACTACAATAAAATAGCATGAAATGACAGGCTGAATGAATGAATGAATGAATGAATGACAGGCTGAATGAATGAATGAATGAATGAATGATAGGCTGAATGAATGAATGAATGAATGAATGACGGGCTGAATGACTGACTGACTGACTGACTGACTGACTGACTGACTGACTGACTGACTGAATGAATACAAAATTTAAATTTGGGATGTCTAAGTTTTGCTAAATTCTTTACCAAAATTTAGTACTTTCTGTAGCTTCTGAAAAAAAAAATTAAAAATGTTCATGAAAACACTATTTGGTATTTTGGCCCATACTGGAGGCAACAGTCTGTATACAGGTTTACAATTCCATGAATCACAGAATGTTTGTATGTTCAAATGTGTGTGAAAGTGAAAGCACGTAATAACGCAATAAGTTAAATGTTAATTGTAAACAGAACGATGTTTATTTTTAGCAAACCATAGTAAATTACAATAGTCGGCACTGCCTGCATTGACATGAATTTCACATGAATTTCTATTTTATTTATAGTCAGTACGATAGCGTCAGCTCTTTTGTTCATTAATTTATATTCAAATGAGCAAGCATGAATAATAGATTGATGAATAAATTATTTATTGAATAAGTGACTCCACCCACACCCACCCCAAACGAATAATGCAAAGCAATATAGTAAAGTAAGTATTAATTATTGAAATGCCTTTTTTCACATTCTTCATATTTTTTTTTAACTTCAATAGTGATTTTAGTTTGCACAGGTGGAATTCAATGATTCTAAATGTTTTGAGCAATATTTTCAAAAGATGTTTTGGTGAAAATTAACAAAATACTAATTTTAACATAACTGTTTTCAACCTGTAAGGTATTCAAAATATTATCAATGGGAACCACACATCTTAGTGTTCTTCTAATGGAGCTTATAGAGATGCGCTTCTAATAGAGCAAATACGATACAATGTACTGTAAAATACATTTTAGCTGGAATTAATTTCGCTGAAAAGTCTTCATGGGTGTTTTGTATGAAATTTATTTTCACTGATTTTTGACAAATTGAATGTAAAATATAGGAAAAAAAGATATATTTGCTGGATTTTATTTTCACTGATTCAGCAAAAATAGCAAAAATAAATTCCAAGCGAAAATAAAGTATAATACAGTATACATATACAATAAATACTTTAATTAAGGTGCCATTGTATCAGGAGTTTTTCTAGAAAAAATAAACAAGAGGGAGCACACACAGGCGACTTGGAAACGTCATATCAAGTTCAATTAAGTAAGAGGGCACCAGCCGAGAGTATCAGAGCGCTGCGCCCCTGTTCCCCTATTTATAAACACCTCTGACTGCATGTATAACTTGAGTATTAGACGAACATGAACTCATGAGCTACGACTCAAATATAGAAACCACATTGAGTTTTATAGTCTAAAAAAAAATTTAAACATGTTAAATGATAGTGTGCAGCCACTTCAAATAGATACACTACGATACATGATACTCACCTTTCCAAGGTATAGGGGAACCCCTTACAAGATGGCCTTGTTTATTTGTTATGATATTATACTTCAGATGTTTTTGTTTCTTTGGCTGGGTTGTCAATTTCAGGTTGATGTGGTGTGAAAACTCGGTAAAATAACGGAATCCTTTTTCCCCACAGCCAACACAATTACCACTGAAACCTACAGGATGAACAAATACAATAGTGTTGTTTTAAATGTTGTACTAACCATTTAATTAATGTAATCAATGTAATTATTAGTAATATATATATAGAAGAAAATATTTGGTAATCGTAGTCCTAAGTAACTATTAAAAATAGCTAGACGTTTCGAGCAATGGCTCTTTATATCGATAGCATAGAAAAAAATGTTTAATTTATGAAGACCATTTTCCGATCACTGCGAGATCCTGCATGGGATTCAACAAACAAAAGTATTTTGGGGGATATTTCCATGCTTAATAAAGTGCTGTACACATTTGATCATGGTCAATTCCAATGAAGTAAAATGTAAGGGTATTTAAATGCAATATTTCCCTGTCAAAGATTGGCCTTTCGATGTGAGCTACGAAATAAAGAAATTCGAGTTCAAAATCTAATCGTTTGTTTTTTTGCGGCAGACGTTCAGCATGCGTCTTTCACGCAACTCATGTACAAAATCACCTATTACTGTAAAATTTGTATTAAAATCCGCGGCTTCTATTAAAATGATACAATGCAACAGAGGGGATGCAGCTTCTATTACAGCATCCACATATGAGAAATGATGAATTTTTGGGTCTCAATTGTTCAAAAAGAATGGGTTCGGCTTCTATTAAGGATGCGGCTTCTAATACAGATTTTACGGTAATGTGACAGTGTAACAGTGACAGTACTCACCTTGTAATGCAAGGTTAGTTTTTGGATCAGGTAAAAATCTTGTATCAACAGCAGCAACCAGGATGTTTTCTGGCAAGTATGGCGATTTGGTACCAATTAAAACAAAACCTTCCTGTACGTCAACCTGTTTATCACTCAGTTCAGTTAAGCGAATATCACCACCCGCCTGACAAAACCCTAAGAAAAACAAATTGATATAGTTACTCATTAATTGCACCAGATGAAAATCACACTTGTGGTAATATTGCAAACGGCATTTCATACTGTCATTGACATATTGTTTTGAACACCAAACAGTAACATTTCCAGCTAAGTTGTTGACTGCTTTGTTATGAGCATCTCAAGGATGTTACATGATTAGAACTAGTTAGTTCAAATCACTTTTAAGAGTGTGCATTATTCCACTAAATGCATTCATTTACAAGAACCAGATACACCATTTACTGAATCCTGACATTTCATACTGTGTCAGTACATAGATTTTGTTTGGTTAAATTTAACATAAAAAATATTTCCAGTGTTAAGAAATGACAGATTCCCTTTTAAAAGAATGCTAAAATCATTCGATAACCACTTCACTTTGATTTCTACTTTCAAGAGTTGTCATGACAAAACTTACCAACTTCTTGACAACCACCCCCGACAGGCAAAGTTGGTGGGTAGCGCATCATTGAGTGAAATGACCCAGGCTGATGATATATAGACACTTCCATGCCATGGTCTGTTGCTGGTGGTAACCGAACTGTTGACTGTGGAGATGGGGGAATTACTGATGAAGCCACAGGAGCCTGAGATGTATGCGGGGCAATGACGACCTGAGGAGGCGGCGGTGGCTGCGGCGGTGGAGGATGCGGCATGCTCGGCATGCTTGGGAAATTGTCTCTGGCAGATCCTTCAACACTTGTCCGTCTTTCAAGGCCGGAAACATGTGGTTTGATATCTGTAAGAAAATCACAGAAAAGTGAGCATGAGAAAGTTGTGAACACATGTTGATCATGAAATAAATCCTATTATTATACATCTGTCACTGTAACGCCATAAGTTACAACGTGCCATAATTTTGCGGTATTTTCCAGGGTATTTTCATCCTACCATATAAGGAATTAATAAAAACAAACATGGCTGCCACCAGGGTTTGACCAGACTCCTATTCTGTTCTAAACTTGGAAGGAAAAGATGTATAATACCAGGGTTTGACCAGACTCCTATTCTGTTCTAAACTTGGAAGGAAAAGATGTATAATACGAGAATACCTCAAAGTATGCACTCAGACAGTATGCCGCACATCGACCTCAATACTCCAGCTGTACTGCCTTCATACATACTTTGAGGTATCCTCCTAATAACCTCATATTATTATAATAATTCTCTCAAATGCTTGTAGAGAAGCATCTGGAGAAGTTCCTGTACTTTTGATCGTGATTTGACACATTACCTATGATACATTTGTTTTTGTTTTGTATGTGTTGTCATATAGGCAAGGTAACGATGTTGACACTGTGAAGCAAAATAAGTTCTATTAGAAGATAGCTCCACTGTTAGCAATGCACATTTCAATTAGAGAAAGATATCATCATGAAATGAGCAAATCTGAAAGGACAATCGCTCATATGATAAGCTCTGTTTGACAAAGTCGACAGTGGAACTAAAAACTGACTGAATCTGTTGCATAATGAACACTAAAACCAAACTGGTTTACCGGTACTCTATATCAGCATTTTGTTGACAAGTCTAAGATACAGGTGGGACCACATGTATTCATGCAAAGATAATTTTAAATAATAATTTTTAAAATCTAATAATATCTGGGATGTATGAAATATATTGTTGGTTGCTCAGGATCATTTCAAAGTTTAGTTTGTGCTGTTTCCTTGACTTTAGCTGTTTTCACCACCTCTTTGACCGGCGTTCCACAGCCGCTTTTACAAAACCCATAGAAATACATGGTACAGTGGTGTGCATCTTAGCAACGTGAAACGTTATGTGACGTAGCTCTCTTTCTGTTATATCAATACTGTTGTATCTGCCCCTTTTAATTTGTAGGATATGTGCAAGCAATATTAATTTGTCTAAAGATGATCTGCAATTTTGGTTTCTAAATATGTCCAAGATTATACCAGTCATATAGTTTTTTTAGATGGTGACTGCATGGATGGTTTCTTAATGACTCATTACCCAAATAATTAGCCTTCTAATCTGTTTCTTAATGACTCATTACCCAAATAATTAGCCTTC